TATAAGACAAAGCATGAAGAAAAAAAAAATGACCTAGCATGATTCAGAGGAAATATAAGAGAAAACTAAACTATGATAAAGATAAAAGTCATATTAGGAAGAAAACGATCAATGGAAACAACAATGATGGCTTGGAAGTTGATATGTATGAAAGAAAAAGAGATCCTGTCTATGCATAACTGGTGTCTCTGAAGAAGAGTATGGAAAACATGGAGCAATTAAAATTACAAAGCAATGGCACAGGTGAAAATGTCACAGAAATGAGAACAAACCTAATCTGCAAATTGAAAGTGCAGTCTGTAAAATTGACACAGAATCGTCCGAGACATTTTGGGAAACTTACTGAACTTTAACAATGCAGAAAAACATAACGTGAATGCTATGGACTGAATGTGTCCCTTCTGAAATGTACATGCTGAAATCCTAATCCCCAATGTGACGGTCTTAGGAGATGGGACTTTTGGGAAGTAATTAGGTCATGGAGCTGGAACCCTATGAATGGGATTAGTACCCTTATAAAAAGACAAGGGGCCGGGGAGAGGACACACGAGTGGGCGCTTGTTTTATCTCTCTCTGCTCTCCCTCATGAGAAGGTACAAAGGTAAGAAGACCATCAACAACCAGGAAAAGTGCCCTCACTAGATACCCACCAGGAGCTATTGGTGTCTTGATCTTAGACTTTTTATACTCTGATGGTGAGAAATAATCTCTGTTGTTTAAGTCAACCATTGTGCGGTATTTTTGCTACAGCAGCATAAACAGACTATGACAATGAGCATGGGACAAGAAAGGCAAATAGTGTACAAATGGGAAAATTGGGTTGGCTACAGATGTCTCTAAGGCAATGTTCAATTCCTGAAGACAGTAAACAGTATCTGAAAAGTCCTGAACGAGTAGCCCAGTAGTTTATACCATCTACTCTTCAAACAAAACACCACGAGACATTTCCATGAAGTCAGCAACTTTGTTAACAACTTAGGGACCAAAGCACTCTTTAGTAGAATGGATACCAGTCAGACAAGAGATGAAGCATAATAAAAATTCAATGATGAGCCAGACATGTGGCTCACACCTGTAATTCCAGCACTTTGGGTGGCTGAGGCAGGAGGACGGCTTGAGCCCAGGAGTTTGAGACCAGCATGGGCAACATGACAAGACTCTGTCCCTATAATTTTTTTTTTTTTTTTTTTAGTTAGCCAGGCATGGTGGTGTGTGCCCTTAAGTCCTAGCTACTTAAAAGGTTGAAGCTGGAGGATTGGTTGAACCCAGGAGTTCAAGGCTGCAGTGAGCCATTGTCGCATCACTGCTCTGCAGCCTGGGTGACAGAGTGAGACCCTGTCTCAAAATTAAAAACCAAAAACTTACATATGGAGAAGATATGGTAAAAAGACTGGCTGTAAATAGTGAATCAATTTAAGCACAGAATTATAGTTTCAAATCAAAAATAAAAATAGATACAATTTAAAATACAAAAGTAATTTTGTATAAATCCTTTTATATTAAAATGTAAAGATTTTTAAGGGATTAAATATCTCTTGAAGAAACCATTATTTTGGTTTTACTTAATTTCTTTTTCTTTATTTGGATTCCACAATTTTTATTTTAAACAGTAAATATAGCATGATAATACTTTACAATTTTTTTTTTTTCCATTTTAGGTCCTGGGGTATATGTGCAGGTTTGTTACATGGGTAAATTGCATGTCACTGAGACTTGATGGATGAATGATTCCATTGCCAAAGTAGTGAGAATAGTACCTGAAAGGTAATCTTCAAACCCATGTTTCCTCCCACCCCCTACACTCAAGCAGTCTCCAGGATCTATTATTTTCATCTTTATGTGTATTCTTGTTTATCTCCCATTTATAAGTGAGAATATGTGGTTTTTGATTTTCTCTTCCTGCGTGGGTTTGTTTAGGATAATGGCCTCCAGCTGCATCCATGTTGCTGCAAAGGACATGATTTCATTCTCTTTATGGCTGCATAGTATTCCATGGTGTGTATATACCACATTTTCTTTATCCAGTCCATTGTTGATGGGCATCTTATTTGATTTCATGTCTTTGCTACTGTGAATAGTATTGTGATAAACATACAAGTGCATGTGTCTTTTTGGTAGACTGATTTATGTATATAACCAGTAATGGGATTGCTGGGTTGAATGGTAGTTTTATGTTCTTTGAAAAATTATACTGCTTTCTACAGTGGCTGAACTAATTGACATTCCCACAAGCAGTGCATAAGTGTTTCATCATCTCTGTTACCTCGCCAGCATCTCACCAGCAACTTTTTAATAATAGCCATTCTTACTGGGGTTAAATGATATCTCATTGTCGTTTTTATGTGCATTTCTCTAATAATTAATTGTGATGAGAATTTTTCATATATTTGTTGGTCACATGTATGTCTTGTTTTGGAAAGAGTCTGTTCACATTCTTTGCCCATTTTCAATGGGCTATTTGTTTTTTGCTTTCTGATTTGTTTAAGTTCCTTATAGATTCTGGATATTAGACCTTTGTTGTATGTAAATAAATGTTTGTAAACATTTTCTCTGATTCTGTAGGTTGTCTATTTACTCTCTTGATAGTTTCTTTTGCTCTGCAGAAGCTCTGTAGTTTAATTAGATCCCATTTGTCAATTTCCTGTTTTGTTTGTTTGTTTGTGTTTTTTTTTGAAATAGAGTCTCGCTCTGTCGCCCAGGCTGGAGTGCAGTGGTGCAATCTCGGCTCACTGCAAACTCTACCTCCCGGGTTCACACTATTCTCCTACCTCAGCCTCCCGAGTAGCTGGGACTACAGGTGCCTGCCACCATGCCTGGCTAATTTTTTGTATTTTTAGTAGAGACGGAGTTTCACCATGTTAGCCAGGATGGTCTGGATCTCCTGACCTTGTGATCTGCCCTCCTCGGCCTCCCAAAGTGCTGGGATTACAGGCCTGAGCCCCCGTGCCTGGCCAATTTCTGTTTTTGTTGCAATTGCTTTTCAGGACTGGGTTATAAATTTTTGCCAAGGCTGATATCCTGAATGGTGTTTCCTAGGTTTTCTTCTAGAGTTTTGATAGTTTGCAGTTTTACGTTCAAGTCATTAATCAATCTTGAGTTAATTTTTCTATATGGCGAAAAGAAGGGGCCTAGTTTCAGTCTTGCCCGTATGGATAGCCAGTTATCTCAGCATCATATATTGAACAGGGAGTCCTTTCCTTATTGTTTGTTATTGTCAACTTTGTAGAAGATCAGGTGGTTATAGGTGTGTGGCTTTATTTTTGGGATCTCTATCTTGTTCCATTGGTTTATGTGTCTGTTTTTGTACCAGTACCATGCTGTTTTGGATAATACTTTTTGCTCCATTTCCTATTGATCTCTCTGTAAGGAGGTGTATGAAATGGTGCTCAGCAAATAACTAGAGTAATTTGGAGGTGGTGAAAATTCATATGGTTTAAAGAACATGTTTTCTTTATACTTTTTGAACTGCTTGGCTTTTTCTAAACAAGCAACTATTAATTTTACATAAAAGGCATTTACTTAGCTTCAATTCTAATAATGTAGCAGAAGAAATGTGAATGGAAAGGAAATAAAGCAGTAACCATTTACTCTTTCTCTAAAATACCATAACTCAATCAGTGAGTTCAAAATCAGTTTAAAGACTGGTCACAGAATCATTCTATTCTGCCTACATTTGTATTTGTTTAATACTTTCCTTAAGACATATTTTTAAAACACTCAATTTGTAAGTTATTGAATAAAAGACCAAACTTTGGCATACATATAGTCCCAGAACATCTTAATATTGTGCCCGAGTTTCACTGTGAAAATAAAATGTCCTTTTCTTTTGTCTAGTTTGGCTGTTTCTCATATTAATGACAAAAATATTGGAGTCAATCAGGGATGAAAATTATTACTTCTATAGCTTTTCATTTATAGAGGTGAATTTGTATATAAATTTTTTAGTCAGAAAAAGCTGAGTTATACAATCTTTCTTTATAGTTCTCATTTTAAAAAATTGTTTTTCATTTGATTTAAAACTAGACTAATTCAATGACAAAGTTACAAGGGAAGTAAAATTATGACAGCTGAGGTTGGGCAGGCAGATGAATTTTGATGTGGTATCTGAAGCTAAAACCATATTATAAAACTCATGTGATTCTATTTGTTTTAGTGGAATTGCTAAGCATTTATTTGCCTCTCATTAGCAAAGTGTTTCATTACTGAGTTATAGAATTTTCATAAAGTCCAACAAGCTTTTGTGTGCCAAGAAAAGAGGGAGGGAGGGTTGAATAAAAATTTAAAAAGAGCAAACAAAGTATTTGTCTCTCTTTTACAAAACCATTTAAAGTTCATTAAGTCCCCTTTATTAGCTAACCCAGTGTCACAAACAAAATACAAGGGAGAAGACCGTAATGTAACTTTCTGAGGTCATGGAATGATCAGATTCATGAAATGCTGAAATAGGAACTTTACTCTTCTGACTCTTCTTCCTTGTAGTCAAGCCATGAAAGGCAAGAATGTTCAAAGTGACAACTTTCGACCTTATTGGGTCTCTGAGTGGTACAGTGAATGTGATGTTAGGGCAGAGAATAGAAAATATTCTATCTGCCATTTTCTTCAAAAGATTTTAAGAAGTGCTCACCAAGTCCCTGCACTACCTAGGAAATGACACTAATATATTTAAGCAGATACAACTCCAGTTTTTCCAGGACGATGGTTTTTAACTTGGGGACCATGGATCTGTTGAACCAAGAATAAGTTTCAGAGGGTCTATGAAATTTTTACATTTCTATGTTTCTATATATATGACTTACAGAAGAGAGGATCAGAAATTAGAAAAAATACTCTAGAAGTTATTTATCTGAATAATATTACAAGAAGTAAATAATGTTTTAAATTACATTAAATATTAATTTTTTTGGAAATAGCACCCCATAAAATGTTGGGCTCAAAGGAAACCTCCGAATACTAAAACGGAACTTGTTCTATACATTTTATAAACCTACAAACTAGGTTCTCCCAACCAAGGACACTCACAAACCTGACCTGATGACAACATACCTCAAAAATCCTAAGTGTACGTATATCTTCTGGGCTGGTGAACATCGTCTCTGACTCCTCAAGTTTTATGCACAGTAGTAGAGGTTAGAAGAGGAAGCTCAATTTGAATCCCAGGTGAGTCTTTCCCAATTCCCCCACAAACAAAATGCAGTTAACATTTACAGAATAGAACAGTGCTATTGCATTCTTTTGGAATTTTAGTAAACTATTGTATGAGCCACGATACTTTCTACTTCTTCTCTTACAAGACTTATCTCTGAGAGGCCAAGAAAAAAATAAAGTGTGTTATCAACATTACTTAAAACTCTATAAATCAACTTTGTGGGTTGCAGGTATGAAGGGAGGGTGATGAAGCCCACCAGCTAGAACTTTTCATATATCTCAGGAGAACATCTCTTGGGTCATATGTAAGAGCATATTCAGGTTCTAGTTCTTTTCAAAGTAGTATATCACTGATGGTCTTGGTCTTCTGTTGGCCTTTGTATTATTCAACAAATACTTCATCTGTCCTTGTGATGTTGACATGTCAGAATTTCAAACCTAACTGTAAGAATGTTAAGTTGGAGGAATAATAAACTAGATCACCTTTGGAGCCAAAAACTGATGTGATCATGCCAAGAAAACATGAAGTTATAGTTTAGTGTTTTTGAAAACACTGAACTCTATACTTCCATTTTTGTTCCTCAGCATACCAAAAGGCATTTATTATGTTCTCTAATTGTTTGCTGCTTATATATGATGGAGTATTAAGTATAAAAATGGCACATCTCTTTTTCTTTTTTTCCCAAATTGGACATGATGTGGTAGAAATGGGAGGGAAAAGAAAGGAACAAGTTAGTTATGTTCTTCCCTATCCCTATGTCTCTTGTCTTTGCAAGTGTGAGAATATTGTCTTTCCAATTCCTTCCATTAAGTATGCCACTTTTGGATTCTGTATTTGTTCTGTCTTTCTAAGAGTAGCTGACATGATACTATTTTCATTCTCATCTAGAAATATAGGAGACATTTTTCACTGAGAAAAATTCTTAGCTGAAAAGCTATGAAGTAAGTTAAAACCGCAGTTCTTCTAGACAAAGATGTGACTACAACAGCAATTGACCTAACTGGCAATATTCTAAGCCAAAGAATATGATTAATTACTTTTCTCTATTGTTTTCCACCTTTTAACAGGTGTTATTATAAATTGTGAAACAATGGGGTTCCAACAGCTCATGAATTGTTCAATGTTAATGCTGTCCATGAAATATTGTGTCCTGCTTTCTAAAAGCAGTGAATGTGTTTGCTTTCTTGTAACACTCTCAAATTTATTAGCATATAGATTACAGTGTGAAACACACTCATCATTCCGCCAAGTTGCTATAACCAACGTGCCTAGAAGACCAGCACTATTAAGTCACTTCATATATCTTGGTGACTGAATGGTTGATCTTTCTCATCCCATTGACTAATGAAGAGACACTTGAAGTGATCTCTAAATTGGTATGCAACATGCTCTTGATTTATAGCAGCACCAAACTTTATATTTATGAGATCTACACTGCAGAGGTGCCTGTAACTATAACATTTCTTCCAGGGAAAATAACTGTGGCACATTGACAAGTCAGCAGAATCTCTTGTCCTCAACTCTTCTTTTTCTCCCCTCTTTCCTTCAACCTTTCAACTATTACCCAAAGTCCAATGGGACCACATTTTGATATTTTTATTTTGAAAGCATTGTAATTCTAAGCTTTTAAGAATTGTCTTTATCACTAGTAGATAAAGTCCAGATAAGGTCATGGGGGGCGATTATGGTATAATGGTGGCATTGACAATACCTGTTTGCAAAACACATTTCAGTTAATAAAGTTTTATCACAAGCATAATTATCTCAGTATTACCCATAATCAGACTGGATCTCTAGGAGATTAATTGACATGAGCAATGTCATGGCAGACTGATTGGCAGATCCATGATTTGGGCCAGTTCTTTGAGGTCTACTTGGGTGCTCTTTCTACTATATCATATTGTGACTATGCAGCCATTTTGTTCCCAAAAGCAACATTTACAACAAGGAAAGAGGATTTTATAAAGGCCTACATAAGGAGACAGTGACAGAATATGATTTGAGCACTGCTATGTGACAGCGTGACAGAAAAACTCACTCATCTTTAAATCCCTCTTCAACTAGACTATAACAAATGTCTAACATTTTAACATTAGTAATACATTCCCTCAAGCAAAGACTTATTTTTCATGCATACCCCTGTTAAAATGCAAATATTCCAAAAAGGCAAAAATTCAAGTGACGAAGAGAGTCAATTTGTTAAATTTATTTTTAATGCTAGGTGAGAAGAAATTGAACACAGGCAAGTGAGTATTGAGTTTAGGAAGATTTGTTGTAAATGTGTCCTGCTAAGGAGGGCAGTTCTGAGCATTTTGTGACAATAGGGTTTTTTTCTGGATGAAATCTTGGCAACATTACAGTGCTAATGTGGGCCTCGAGTGTTTTTTTATTACTGTTTATTAGTCTTGAGTGTTTGTATTAGTGTTTCTTAACCAAGACACTAAAAAGAAGCCAGATTTTCCTAGCAACAGAGTCCAAGGGAAAGAATCATAAAAAGGAGTCCGAAAAATTGTGAAATTATTCATCTGGCATACTGTTTAGTGACCACTCTTACCCACCTCCTTTTTCAATCATTCTTTTCATATTTTCTTGGGAAATTCTACTGCTCAGGAGAGAAGGTAGACAACAGGGACAATAAAAGGAAACTATAGGCTTGGTGTATTACTCAGGGGTTTCCAGAGACACAGAACCAATAAGATATAGGTAGGTAGGTAGGTAGGTAGGTAGATAGATAGATAGATAGGGAATTGGCTCACAGAAATTGTGGGGGATGAGAAATCCCAGCATCTGCTGTCTGCAAGCTAGAAAACCAGAAAGCTGGTGATGCAATTCAATCCCACTCTGAAAGTCTAAGAAGGAGGTGGGGGAACTGCTGGTATAAGTCCCAGTCTCTGAATGCCCCAGAACTAGGACCTCCCATGTCCAAGGATGGAAGAAGACAGATATTCAAGTTCAAGAAAAGAGGGAGAGAATTCACCCTTCCTCCTCTTTATGCTCAGCTCCTCAATGGATTGGATGATGCCTGCACACATCGATGAGGCTGGATCTTCTTGACTCAGGCTATGATTCAAATGCTAATCTCTTTGCATAAACACATTTAGAAATAATGTCTTACAATCTCTCTAGGCATCCCTTAGCTCAGTCAGGTTGACACATAAAATTAATCATCACACTTGGGGTCTGGAATAAGGTGGAAGAAGCAAGACTAAAGAAAGTCTGTTGAGATCTCTCTGAGATGGAATTATCATATCGGCACTTCCTAGTGTTTTGAGTTATAGACATCTTTATATATTTGATAAAAGCAATCACTCCTGTCTCCAGAAGAATGTATATAACATGGCACAAAATTTTACATGGAATTTTGAAAGAATCATGAGCTACCTGAACACCAAACATAGACTAAGGGACCTATGGAACTTACATATTAAAATTTGCACTAGAGGCCATGATTCATAAATATAGGCACATCAATCTTTTTGTTATTGTACCCTCAGTGCCAAATATCATGTCTGAGCACATGGAAGGTACTCAACAACTAATTTCTAAATAAATAAACTTCGATAGTAGTAGGCACCAGTAAGAAAAGCATAAATGGCTGCTATATACAAACACATGTGTTAATCTTAAGAAAAAATGTTGAGGTTGGGAGGGAGACAATTTTCCTTGGATATCTCAGGATGTATGCCTGATCTAGGCATTCTGAGTAAAGGAGATGTTTTTGCAAACATGCCCTAGAAGCTAGAGATGGTGTCTCCCTAAAGATACAAACCCCTAGAGATATGGAAATTAATAAAGTCTCTTTCTTTTTCAGATACATTTGTTCACATTACAGGTTAGTAATCTTATCTTCTTCTTCTTTCCCAGATGATACGTTTAAATTGCAGAGTAAAGGTCTTTCTCTCTGGGAAGGAGAGTGACAGGTGTACCAGCCAGTATATGTAAGTTGCAAGTCTCATAATTCGGGGTTCCTCCCTGGTGATGCAAGCCCACTGCATATGTCGGTAAGCATTTGGCTCTCACTGCACCAGTTTGCGGGGATTGGGGAACAGGAAACTGCTGCTGAGATGCTGCTTTGTCTACTCTTTTCCTGTAAGTAATAAACAGTCTGTGTCTCTTACACAGAGCTTTGTTTTCTCTTGTCAGCACATGTATATAAAACGATGACAAGCTAACCTGTTATATCACACATGGAGGTAATCACAGTTCTGTTGTAGTTTCAGACAACATGAAGGAAGCCAGACATTAATAGAGAAAACTTTGTATGATTTCTATTACATTCAGGAAAAAGCAAAACTAATCTTCAGTGATAGAAATCAGAGTTGTGTTTTTCTCTGGGGTATATGAACTGAAAAGAGAAGTGCAGAAGTCTTCTAGAGTGTTTAAAATGATCTATACATTGCTTTAGATGGTGGTTACATGAATACAAATATTCAGTTATCACCTAAGATTTGTGTAATGTACTGCATGTATGCTACACCTCAATAAAAATATTCCATAATAGGAAGGCCAACAGAAAAATGCCCTTTAAATTTCAGCAAGTTGAGAAGTTAAGTTTAAGAAAAGAGCATATGTCTCCAAAAGCTTTTTAAGAGGTACTTGAACTTCTGTGACCTATTTTCACTGTTACATAGAATCAGAGTGTGCCGTAAATCACCTAGTTAATTATTCCTGCTGCCAGAGCTGGGAAACCTGGAAGGCTTGTATAATGGCTAATTTTATATGTGTTGACATGGCTAGGCCATGGGTTGCCCAGATATTTGACAAGATCAAACACTATTCTGGGTGTTTCTGTGGGATGTTTCTGGATGAGATTAACGTTTAAGGTGATGGACTTTGAGTAAAGCAGAAAATCCTCTTTAATGTAGTGGGCCTCATCCAATCAGCCAAAGGCCTGAATCAAACAAAAAGATCAGCTTCCCTTGAGCAAGAGAGAATTCAGCAGACTGCCTTCAGCCTTCATTGGCAACATCAGCAATTCCTGATTCCATAGCAGATGGCCTCAGACTCGAACTCGAACATCAGCATCAGCTCTCCTGAGTCTCCAGCCTGCCAGCCTATACCCTGCAGATTCCGGACTTGCTGGCCTCCATAATAATGTGAGCCAATTGTTTATAATAAATATTTTTATACACCCTCCTGTACACAAAGATGATCCCTGACTTACAATGATTTGACTTATGACTTTTTTGACTTTACAGTGATACAAAAGACATACAAATTCAGTAGAAACTATGCTTTGAATATACATAGAACCATTCTGTTTTTCACTTTCAGTACAGTATTCAATACATTATATAAGATATTCAACACTTTCTTATATGATACGCTTTGTGCTAGTTTTGCCCAACTTCAGGCTAATGGAAGTGTTTTGAGCACATTTAAGGTAGGCTAGGCCAAGATATGTTTGTTAAGCTAGCTGTATTAAATGCATTTTTGTCTTATGATGGGTTTATCAGGATATTACCCCATCATAAGTCAAAGAGCATCTGTGTGTACACACACACAAACATACACACACAAACACACACACACTTTCTATATATATATGTGTACATATACACACATACACACACACACACACACACACACACTTGCACCCCCCACACATGTACCCTATTGGTTGTGTTCTCTTGAGAACTCTAATGGAGCTTATCAATCTCAAAAGTTCAATATCACCGTTGCTTTTACTAATTATACAGCCTTGCCTGTCCTGTCTTATTGTCTCCAAATATGGCAGAAAACCACATCTCAATCCTTACTACATTCCGCCTAAAGTCCATTCCTTCCTTCTCATTAACGATCTCTACTTCTGCTTGTTTTTTACTGAAATATCAGGTGTGCATGGACAAAATCATGAAATCATACTGAGAACATCATGTGATTGGGAGCTCAGAAGGGCCAAAGCCTGGGATGTCATCAAAAATCAATCAAAATTATCTAGAAATCAATATTGTAACAGTATCTTTTTCTTTTTCTTTTTCTTTTTCTTTTTGAGACAGAGTCTTGCTTTGTTGCCCAGGCTGGAGTGTAGTGGCGTGATCTTGGCTCACTGCAACCTCCGCCTTCCGGGTCCAGACAATTTTCCCTGCCTCAGCCTCCTGAGTAGCTGGGATTACAGGCACCCACAACCATGCCCAACTAGTTTTCATATATTTTAGTAGAGATGGGGTTTTGCCATGTTAGCCAGGCTGGTTTTGAACTCCTGACCTCAGGTGATCCGCCTGCCTCAGCCTCCCAAAGTGCCGGGATTACAGGTGTGAGCCACTGCACCTGCCTGTGATAGTATCTTTAAACTAGTCTACTCCTCAGTTTTGCCCTCTTCTTTCTGTATTTTGCTGTATTCTTCATTACATTCTTGCTAAATATGCTATCTCCATTGAACATATGACAAGATATAGCATTATTCAATAGTGGATGACGATTGGAACATATAATTCTGGCTTCCTGATTATCATGACCCTTTATGTCCATTTACCTAATGTCTTTAGAAGGTATAACATATCGAATACATTTATTTTAGTCAAGTTTTATATCTGGTAACAGCTATTAAATTTTACATTTAATCCTAACTGGACTAGTTCAAAATTCATAAGACTAAACATATTTCTCCGTTTTTGCTTTTTTCTCTTAGTTGATTTTTTAAAGCTATATAAGACCAACATTCACATAAAAGACAACTTTTACCAACTATTGTGTTTTCTGGCTCCTCAGGTAATTGTACATACATATTTTAAAAGAAATTTGTCAATCAGATAAATGTCTTTTTATATGACAATATAAGAGCAGCAGTGATGGCTGCTGACATTTATTGAAATATGCACAAATGTCTCATCACAGCTTGTTAAATAACTATTTTCCTGCTGAAAATATGTTTAACTTTTACCACCTCAGCAAAAGTGGATCTGATAGCAATTCTCAGAGCAGGTCTCTAATTTGGCAAATAGCCCACAGAGGTATTTTATTTACATGTTTCAAATCCTTTTTTCAAAAAGTAAGGTCTACATCAATAAAATGGAGGGATATTTTACACACACACACACCACACACACACGCACACTCTCAGACTTTATCTCTAAGAAGAGTATGGTGGCCATGAGAATGTACTTTACAAATCACAGAGCATAATTTTCTGAAGGCTTTCACTTCTGTATTCTGAAGTTTATCTCCACATTCTGACTGAGGCTATGGCTTCTACCAGCTGCACCCAGCCAGTGCCTGATCGCATCAGGGATACTAAACCAGGCTCATTCCTGATACATGTAGAACTCCTTTGGTGAGTGACTGTGGCTCAAGACCTCCCCCTACTGAACTTGGCTTAGAACTACACTGCAGGCTAGGGGCTTCCACCCGGAGCATCCTCAACTCCGTCTCTCCTCTCAGGATGAGACCTCCACCACCGCGGTCTGATGACTTTCCAGGTCTCCCCAGTCTCCCTCTCCATTTTCTCTGCCTGGTATCTTCCATAATAGGTCATTTGCATGTTTAATTCTTGATATCTGATTCTCAAAGGGCAAGAACTAACAAATATAGAGTTATATTTCATTCTTGAAACAGTTAGTTTCTTGAGATGAAGACTATGTTTTTAATGACTTCTGTATAGAGAAAGAATACACTAAAGGATAACAGAGAAAGGGAAATAGAAAAAAGAAGATGGTACTCAAAGGGCTGGCAGAAAAACAACATCAAAGAGAGGAGAAAGACAGAAGAGGTGAAAGCCAGAGATTCCCAAAAAGGGAGATAGTAAAAAGGAAATAGCATCAGATGATGAATACAATGGAAAGAAAATCTGACTCCATGTTCCCAAACTTGGCAATGCTGTCAGCTTCTTGCTTATCCTTCACCCCAGGGTGCTGTGGATAAGGAGGTGAAAGAGAGGGAAAAGTTATTGAAGAGAACAGATACTCATCTAACATCATCTTTCATCTCTAGTCATTCTTCAGGTAGTTTATCCTTCTCAGTCAGAATAAAAAACTTTCTCTAGAAGCACCAGTGTCTACAATTTCAGATATTAAAAGGCAAAATTTGCACCTTTTTTTTTTTAGTTCTTGTAAACATCTAGTATATTTTATAATTCAGATATCTATTTAAAGACTGGTCCTGGTTAAAATGCAAGATTGATAAATTAAGGGACATTTTCCCTCATCTTAAAACATTTAGTCATTCTTAGTCAATCTGGACTGCTCAAACAGAATGCCATAGACTGGGTGGCTTAAACAACATTTATTTTTCACAGTTCTGGAGGCTGGAAAGTCTAAGATCAAGGCATCAGCAGATCCAGTTTCTGGTGAGGGCTCTCTTTCTAGTTTAAAGACGATGGTCTTGTATCCTCATATGGCGAAGGGAGATCATTTCTCTCTTGCTCCTTCTTATAAGGGCCCCAATACCATTCATGAGGTTCCACCCTCATGACCAAATTATCTTCCAAAGGCCTTACCTTCCAATACCATCATAATAGGAATTAGAATTTCAACTGAATTTTGGAATGATACAAACATTTAGGTCATAAGAGTAGCCAAGATGTTCTTTCATTTAATCTTTTTCTTTTCTTTTATTCCTTTATCTCCTGTTGCTTAAAGGAATCATCATTTTTCTTTTCTAGGTGTCAACAATTTTAGCATTGCAGAAGACCATGGAGACAACTTTTTTATTTCTCCATCACACATGCACTGAAGATACAAAAATGAGTTTTTCTTTCCTATGGCCTTGGACTAGCTATATACTATAGTAATTAGCAAGCAGGCTCTGAATCACACAAGCCCCTCCCACTGACTCTTGTACTTTTTAGCTATAAGAACCTAAGCATGAACTTCGCAGAGCTCCAGTGCTTCTGTTTTGAAAAGAGATAATATTTCCTATGGGATAGGGTTGTCTGGGGGTACTAAATGAGAAATACATACAAGGTACTTAATGGAAGGTGAGGCATGTAGGACTCAATAGAGGTAGCTATTAAATAGTATGTAAGTAACAAATCCTGATAATGTTCAATTCTGAATAAAACTTAACTAGGTAGTTTTATTGTCTTTATTATTTTTTACTGATTAGAAAACTGATCCTAAAAGAAGTTAGTTAATTTTCCCATAGAAATACATTTGGTGTACAAATTGGTGATTTTCGAACCCAGATCCATTTTCCATTGTCTTGCAGCAATGCTCTACAGAGCTGGGCCCGCCTCATGCCCTTGGCATAGCTGTGAGTTAGCGTGTAAGCTGTGTTCACCTGCTAAAGAGTTCATCTTCCAGAAAAATCAGAGAGATACTATGAGCAAAAGCCCAGAATTCCTTAAGAGTATAGGAGGAAGATGTACAACGAACACTCCCACCCACTAAGTAGGCAGAACAATTAAAGACTGAACTATGGTGATGCCATATTTTTACATCTGAAGGCACTGCACCACAGGCCCACAATGAACATTTAGCTCTCATAGTCTCCACATTCTTTATTCTGTTTTTGGAAAAGCTTCCTGTTTCTAATTTGACAAGCCATCTGCCTTGTTAGCTTTGCTTCCTTTATCACTTTTTTTTTTTTTACCTTTGAAAATAAACTCTAGAAGCAGCCCCACGTAAGGCAAAGAAAAATAATGAAGAAAAACATGTGCCAAGGGCTCCACTGCCACAACGTTCATCCCTAATGTTTTTAATTTGTCCATTTGTTTTGCTTGATTGGAGGTCCACTGAATAGGAACATAATTTCTATGCGACTGCCTGTATGCAAATACAATCATTCACTATTTCTTAATATAAAATTGCAAGATGGCTTACATTTAGAAATACAGAGGGAAATGTAATTAAGTATGAAAAAGAGTTTCTCTTTTCCAGTCAAAAGTGTCTTAATAACTTCTATTTATATACTACTCTGTAATTGCCAAAGCACTTCTATATGTATTGTTAGACTTAATCCTATTTACCATCTCTGGGACTAAATTAGCTTATAGTTGAGGATGGGGTGGGGTAGATTTTGTGAAAGTTCTACAGATTCTGCCGTGTGCTCCCTTCTTCTTGTTTAAATACTGGGATTTTAGGAATCTGCACAGGTCTCTTAATTTATCACATAGGCCTCAGGTAAAAAAACTGGTTTAGGCACAGGGTAAAAACAAACTTAACCTGTCCCTTCCAGGTAAACATCTGCATTTTAAGTGCGTTTAATTATCTCTGAAGTTCTGCCTTTGACCCTTTCACCTTCCCCAAAAACTTGCTGGGAAAGAAACCATTGGTCTGTACTCCTTGAGAAGCCTCATACAAGTTGCTTAATATTTAAAGGCTAAAAAATAATTACTTGGGCTCAAAATTAACAGGTTTTTGCTTGTATTCCCTGTGATCTATGAGCAAATTACTTTATTAGAAAATCATTAGAGCATAATTTGCTTCTACTTGTTGCTGTCATCAATTTTTATTTCTTATAATTAAAATACAGGTTCTTATAATATGTCATTATTGTAAATAGCGTGCTGCCAGATATTGATGTGAAATTGTCATTAACCCTAACACCTATGCCTTTTTTTAAAAGTGTGTGAGTTTACCAAGGTTACGCCACATTTAGACCCCTTCACCCTACTTATACCCAAAGTGCTCTTTCTCCAGACTGCCGGGGATGGGTCTCACAATGAATTTCCATAAATATTTCCTTTTGCGTTGTCTTGCTTTTATTCTTGAAAGCCACGAAAACCCAACTGAATTTGTCTGGATCGTTCTGAATGAGTTTCTTACTGATGTAGGAAACACAATATGAGCAAAAGCAAAATCAGAGTCTAAGCAGGACTGAAGAAGATGGGAAGTCTGTTATTTATACTATTGTAAGAGGGAGGCTGGAAATCAGGACATTTAAGAGACAAGGATGCACAGAACCCCAGCTTAAACTATCTGTTAGAGTTTTAGTCTTGTCATCAGTCTTGCCTTAAGGGACAAATATGCTGTAGTTTTACAGTTCAACATGCACCAAAAATTCTACCTAGCGAGAGTTTCTAGGCTATTCTCTCCTTGGAAATAAATTATACCTCTCAGAAAATTCAGCCCAAGAACCAGTTCTAATGCTTCTGAGAGGGGCCCGTATGTGACTTGAGAAACAGAAATTGGAAGAAAAAAAAAGTTGATTATTTTAACATGCACACTTGGTAAAAAAGCATGTGAGTATATGCATGCAGGCAAAGTCTAAGTCTTCTCCTGTGCACACTTTCAAAATAATTAGTTTTTTAAAGTTTAATAGTCATTTTGTGCATGCCCCTTTTCTTCATTGCCCGTGGTTTCACTTGGCTATAATCAAAGAAAAATGGATTCACTGGTCCTCTTAACAATACAGCAGATTTGAGAGCAGAAAATAGGCCTTTAAAATATCAGATCATCTCAATTACTTGGGATTCAGCATGTGTCCTGCTTTGAGAAACCTTGAACTTTAGCAAAGAGTTCTTGACAATATATTAAAACTTCTGCAGCCTCTTACAGACCCATTTAACTCACACTTAATCTCTTTTTTTAAAGGCATGAGTCCATTTCATGAGGCTTTTTTTCCTTTTCATGATAGCTGATTTGTAATGCCTTCATATGTGTCACATGATTGTAGAAATCATTAGATAGCATCATATTTGTGGTTCTCAGACTCTAGATGATAGAAGAAAACGTAAGCATTCTATGTCCAATTCTCTGTGCATGAAGAAAAATAAGCTAAACGATGTGCATCCAATAGCTATTGACTGTGCTGGAATTAAAATTTAAGCTATTTACTCTGAAATACTATGCACTGTACTATGCTGTCTCAGGAACTTATCTTCTGAAAAAAGACTTCTAGGAAGGAAAAACTGGGTACTGTTCTATTGGAAGCTCCTCTCTGGTAATCTTTGTTCCTGCCCTGGTCTCCAATCTGGGAGTTCCCAGTTGACAAGTGTGTTAGTAGCCTCGCCTCTCCACCATTTAGGAGCTGTAACACGGTGGTTCTGTATCTTAGCTACACATTCCAAATCACCTGAGGAGTCTAACAAAAAAAGAGCTTCTATTTCTGGCCATAATTCAACAACTGGTATTGAACTTACCCTAAGTGAGTTGTAAGTAAGTATAAAATTGAACAAAATACCAGGCAATTGTTTTCATATATTAGACAATCAGAGTCAGAGGACTGTGATATTAGAGAGGATGAAAATTTAAGAGATATGAATCATTTTGCCCCAGGTTTTGCCTGGCAGTACTTTCCCAATCTAAGTACAGGAAAATGGAATGTGAGTAGAAGGCAGGTGCCTCTCTGAGCCACTGGGCTGAGGATGGAAGACAGAGAAGGCAGCTGGGGATTGCTGAAGGCCTTAACTAAACTACAGGCCTTAATGATTCTACTGGTGAATTCTTTCAACCATTTAGGGCAGAAATAATACTAATGTACAAAGAAGCTTTCAGAAAACAGAGATGGAGGGAGGGAGCACTTCCCAACTTATTTGATGAGGTCATCATAATTACAGACCAGTATTACTCATGATCCCAATATTACTCAAAACTCCTCAGACCAATGTTACCCAAAAATTATTAACAAAATATTCATAAGTGGACCCTAAAATATCTAAAACAGTTTATATTTAAACTTTTTCATAGGAATGCAAAACTAGTTTGTTAATTTGAATGTGAACCAATATAATTCATTGTGTTAACCGAAAAAGGAAAAAATGTTTTATAATCACTTCAATGGATACAGGAAAAGCATTGAACAAAATTCAATATTTATTCCTGAAAAGATAGTGAAATTAAGATTGGAGGTAAATTTGTCAATTGGATAAAGGCCATCTATGAAATATGTACAGCTAAATATTTTACCACTAAATAGTAAAATATTTAATGCTTCCTAAATACATGCAGTGATATATCATGCGCATTGATGGATAAACACAATATTGTTCAGATGTACATTGTCTCCAAAGCAATCTATAAACTCACAGAGTTCCAACTTCAAAGGAATTCTAAATCTGATTCTAAATTTTTACATGGAATAACAAAGATTCAAATAGCCAATACGATCTTGAAAAAGGTCATCTAAATTGGAGTATTTATACTACTTAATATCAAGAAGTACTATAAATTGAAGTACAGTGTGTAAGGGCAAATAGATTAATAGAACAAAGTGGAGTACAGACATAGATCCAGCTGATTTTCAGCAAATGTTTCAGAGCAATTAATCCAGTGAAGAAAATACAGCCTTTTCTATAAATGGTTATGAAATACTTCTGTGGAAAAGTAAATGTATGAATAAGTAAAGTTGATCTCCTTCTCATCTCATATACCAGGGGTTGGCAAACTTTTTCTGCAAGGTTGGCAAAGTAAATATTTTTACCTGTATGATCTCTGTTATTACAACCATTGAACTCTGCCATTATAGGGCAAAAGCTGCCATTATGTAACTACCTGAGTAAAACAGTTTCAATAAAACTTTATTTTTTAAAAAAAGGTGATGGGGTAGACTTCATTGGCATGCTGTAGTTTGCCCACCCTTGACATTAGAAAAAGTTTTAGAAGAATCTCATATCTCCATCCTAAAGCTAAAATGGCAAGTTTCTGGCACAAAATGTAGAATATCCTTGCAACCTTGAGGTAAACAAAGATTTTTAGATAAGGCACAAAAGTCTCTAACCATAAAAGGAAAAATAACAAGATAAATTGCACTTCTTTAGCATTCAAAAAATCTGTGTATCAAAAGACACTATAAAGAAAATATAAAAATGCAATCCACAGGTTAGGGAAAAAACAGCTACAACTAAAATGACTGGCTACACAAAATAGAAAAATCATTTGTAAACATTTGTCAGCACTCACCTAGTTACACACTAAAGATCAGTGCACTTTGCTATATGTGAAAATTATAAAGTACATTGAATTTCAGCTTTCAAATGAAAACAAATGATAACACTGATTCCACAGCTCCCTTTACCCATCTCCCTTCCCGAGATTCTGCTTTGATATATATGGTGGGTGGAACTTCAATGTCCCATGGCAGGAGAGGATGGATGTCCCGGTTCAAGAAGACAGAGAGAGAGAAAACCATTT